TCACAGCAGAAATCACTACTCAATACACATTAATATATATATATATAATTAATATTAAGTGGTGATAAGGTGCTTTTCACATCATCGATCAGAGGCCCATCATTTACCTCACCTTAGTCCTTACCCCACCTCTCTATAATATATACCAAATTATTAGTTTTATCCTTTTTTATTCTGTCAATCTCTTTATGATTAAGTTTTGTCTCTTTGTTACACATTTTTTCATTGTTGGACTTGGACACCAATATACATGCTTGTGTTAACTTTTTTTTTCTTTTACAAAAAAAAAATATATATATATACTAACAATTAATAAAAAATTATCTTAATAGTGAACTAATAAAAAAAAATTAGATTTTTTTTTTTTTTTAATTGTGGTGCAATTAATTAATTAGAAAGATATCTTCATAAAGAGGTAATATTTCTTGTTATATATGAGGAGGGAGGATCAACTTTGCAGCAGAGTCACATCAAATCAGAATAATAAATAGTAGTTAGTGGTGAGCATGCAGTACAAATATTTATTATATTTATTTACTCAGGGGATTTTGCAAGATTTTCTGATTTGACTTGATCATCAAAATTAAAGGTCTCCGTCCGGTCCAGTACTGTTTAATTACATTACATAGGTTTAAAAAGGAAGATAATTAAAACTGAAGAATCTTTTAGCTGACTTGCTTGGGAGATTCTCAGTCTTAATGTAAAGGTAAAGCCCCTGCCTGGTTTTTGATATACTTAATTTTCTGCAGACTGACTGAGTACCTTTTATACTGTTAATTTACACAGTGATGATCAGATCAATAGGGACTGACTGACTGACTGCTAATTGAAATACAAACCAATGCTTAGTCAAATTCTGTAATGATGGCTATCTCCAACTTTTGTCACTATTAAATTAATGAAAACTTGATCAAAAATGAAAAACAAAGACCTAGCTCGATCGCGTGTTTTATATGAAGCTACCGATCTACCATCTACAATGCATTAAGTCTAATCTCGCGTGTGTCTATATTGCATATAAACAAATTCAAGTTTTGGATGACGTAGATAAAATTATGTAAAATTATCAAAATTCACTCCAGTTCAAAGAAATTAAGTCTCTACTTGGGTCTAAAATAGAATTAATTTGACCGAGTCTCTTTTTCTGGCTATCACATCAGCATTACTCAATTTATTTTTATTTGCATTGGACAATTTTATTGAGTCTATTTTTTAGGTGATACATATTTTTTTGTGATTGAACCCAAAACGTTGTGGAATGTCCGGTGATTGTTTATGAATTCAATTAGTTTTAATTTGGTTTGTTTCTTAACTATAGTTAATTTTGAAGAAAGATGGTATGATTAGTTGTTAGTGGATAAATTAAAATAATATTTAAATAAAATAGTCAAAGTTGATTTGATGTAAAATATGAGAAAAATGATTAGAAGTGAACTAAAATTGATATGATGTGTAAGAATGATTGGTTGATATTATTTATTTATATTGATAATATTGAGATTAGTTAGGTTAGGTTAAAGTTTAGTTAAATTTAAATTTTGATTGAAATTTTTTGACTTAGAATTTATAAACAATCACCCTTAATTCGTTAATTAATTAATTAAGGATATTAATTTATATCTTTTATTATTTTTTGTGTGATGTCATTATGGTGAGACTATGTGACACCGGTGAAAAAAGATAGAAACATTAGAAGTAAGAACACAAATTAAAAGATGGAATGATATACTGAAGAAAACTTGAAATGAGACAAAAAATAAAAAATATTTAATTTTAAATGAGACATGTGATCGATATGCTATCTCAAAATATATATTTTCTTAAAGTGGAATTACTGAATCAGAAAGAACAAAACTTTTAAACATATGAGTCAATATCTTACGTTAGACGACTCGATTCGTCATACTTTTTTTATAAAAATAAATACTTATATTATAAACAATATATTTTTATTTATGTTATTTTTAGAATCTGATATTTTAATTTGAAAGTATGCAAAATATGATATTTTTATCTAACAACATTCCAATAAAAACTTTTTTTTTTTTTTTTTAAATGGGTTTGATTAAAGTTTTGTAGTCTTATTACATTTGTTGTTGCAGTGAGTGTCACAAAAGGCCTATCTAGCTCATCCAATCAAATGAATAAATAAATAAAAAAAAAAGGAATGTTATAACATTATGGACCATGTGATCCCTAATCATCATTCACTAATTGATGCACCTAATCTGAAAAGCACACCACACATGATAGAAAAGCAAATAATAAAAACTATAATAATTTGCAGTAGTACTGCCCCCGCAAATAATTAGGTGTGCCCTGACACACCTTGCTAGGTGTGCCAGGGCCGAGAGTGAGCTCACGTAAAACAAATGAGAGTGACTTTAAATTAAAATTGTTGTCCAATTTTTTTTAGCTCACGCGCAGAGAGAGGTAAGACAAAAATGAGGCTCAATTTCTTCTACCAAAATTGGACCCATTTTTCAAGGTAAGGGAGGTAAGACATTTTTTTTAAAAGGGACATGTGTCCCATTTCTATTGGATGATGAAATTCATATATCATTTTATATAAATTAAATTATCATTCA